TCATCAGGACACACTCATTTGAAAAATTGGGATTATAGGAGCTTAATTTGTTTGGGTTTATTGCTACTACATATGTGCAGCCTGTGCTCCTTGGCTAAAAAGGGGGCACATTTGAGGCTAGTACCAGCATGTTGGTGTCAAGCAAGTACTGTATGTAAAATATATTGAAATTAGTAGCACATGTACAGTAAATTAAGTAGTAAACCACCTGTAAGTATTACAATGTAAATATTTTTTTCAGTGGTAATAAACATTCCAATTTTGTTAATAATCACAATTATTTTTGGTAATGGGGTCAATATTGTGGGCTTATATTTAACCCAGAAAAAAAAAGATTAGCTCTACATCTCTTGGTTGAAGAGCTAATCTGAGGAACAAACTATGTGTGAATAAGTCATATAATAACAGAGAATGGTTCAAACAAGTACCATGCCCTCTATGTTCAGTTTCAGAATTATATGCTCAAAATATTGTGGTCTAAAAATGAAAAAAAAAAATCTTGTAACTCTAAGTGGGTATGTCTGTCAAATTTCAAGGCATAACTAAATTATACATTTTTATTTTAACCTGCATTTTAGGGTTTTTAATTATTTTCAAGACAGTATTGAGCTACAATATGAAAAAGCAAACTGCTATTAATGACACTTTATATGCAAACACTAGTTATATGCCATGATTGTTTGCTACATGCCTTCAATGTGTGCACATGGAAATACTTATGTACAAAAACAAAACAAGTTTAGGGTGCTGTGCTATATATTAATGAGTGTTGGTCGACCACCCCTCCTGCAATAATGGCTTCATCTGCATAGTAAATCCCAATATAAATTGATGATGAGGTTATGCACTATAAAAAAAAATGTGAATTCAAAAATATAAGTTAAAAATAAAAATAAATAATATTAAAAATATCTACCTTCAGCTCTGTCCAGATTATCACGTTTTCTTTGACAAAAAATTGTTGTATGCCCATATATAGTCATGATGTGCCTATATATGGTCATGATGTGATGTCATCATGACCATATTTAGGCATTTTGCATGTTTTTGTCAAATAAAATTTGATAGTTTGGACAGGGCTTTAGGAAAGTTACCATTAGTTAAACTATCATTTCTATTTAATGAAATTCACTTTATTTGAAACCATCAATTAATAAACCAATTTTATAAGAAACCAGTATAAAAGTGCGATTTTCCAAATACCATTGCTTTGCACACTAAGCTAGTGTGCTTACAATATTTGTTTATTGTTTAAAAATCATTTCTGTTTTTCTTGTATGCAATAAATTGATGTTGGTGAGAGATCTTTGTTGTTATGTTACTGTTTTAAAAATAGATATACAATAGAAACAAAGAATAAAGCAGTGGGCTGGCATATTTTAAACATATTTTTCTAATCTTTTAATGAATCATATATTGAAGGAGATGTAAAGCTGGGTATATAGAACATTTACAAGGTCAGATAATGGTGTACTGCTACTCCAAAAAACAAAGCTCACTTGGATTCAATCCTCGCCTAAAATGATCTTTTTCTTACGAAACATCTCCACCTCAAAGACCTGGTCATAGAGCATCTGCAGTCCCAAATATTAGCTCTCTGCTCCCTAATCGTAATTTATAAGACCTACCCTGGTATTCTTAAAACAAACTTTAGTCATAGTTCGAGCAAAAAAACTTTAAAATTACGTCATTTCGTATTCTTAAAACGAACTTCGACTAGCACTACGACTAAATGACGTGAACCTCGACTAAAATGATACCTCCGCAGACCGATTTTTTTAGTCAGCCTAGGGTCAGACTAAATCGCTGACTTGAAATATTTACCCCACTAAAAACGTGTTTTTTGTAACTCACGATAAAGTGAAACGAATAAAAACGATTGTATACGCAGGTTTGATATATCTTTGGTGTGTTAAACAAAAGAGACATCAAGTTTAGCTTCCAGAAGGAGAAATTAACATGTTTGCTAGCCACATGCGATAGTTCCTGATTTGCACGAAATCCCCTTACGTTGCGATCCCGTAGCTTCACAATAACTACAACAAAGATGGTGCCGCCTTCGCTCGGGCTCAACTATAATAGTTCTTCAAAGAAAGCAAATTTTCAGTCTCTGTTCAAATTCTCTATTGTAATATGTTAACAACTAATATAGTTATTATTATAGAAAATTAATTAAGGAAATGATGGTCTATTATGAATTATGAGGAAATACGTTTTTGAACCACAGACGGCAGCTTAATATTCATCCGCGTTACTGGATCTCTAAAATTTAACCCTTTTCATTGGTTAGTTTGATAGTCGTGGCTTGCCAGTCGTCTTCAGTTGAACTAAAACTAAGACTTGATTTAGTCGTAGTTAAAACTTCGACTACATTGTTTGTGAATAAAATTTGAAGTTAAAGATGCAACTAGCACTAAATGAAGTTCTAGTTCGAAGTTCGACTAAAGTTTGTTTTAAGAATACGGGCGTTAGTCATAGCATTCCAGGCCCATAACCAGGGGAATCAAAGTTTATTCTCGGCAATTTCAGCAAGAATAAGTTCACAACAGTTGTTGTACTGGAATGTTTTAGTTCAAACTGAAAGGTATATGGTAAGTTTGACCATACAAAGTACAATCTGAGCATGTTACTACTGCTAAAAGCATTAACGTCCAATACAGACGTTAGCACACTCTACAATACCTTTCATATCAGCTTCCATCTTCAACATCACCGCCATTAGGTTCTTCAGCAGGGTCACTCTTAAGGTCTTTACTTTCATGACCAGTTAGTGACTTCACAACATCTGATTCCTCAGGGATACCCACAGCCCTAGAATCAGCAGCAGAATTCAAAACATCACCTGGAATATCTGATAGTTCTTTGTCAGTTGCCAATACCCCTCTGTTGTTTAGCTGATCTAATTGGCTCTCCTCTTGTGTTTCTGTTACTTCTTTGTTTTTTGTTTCATCTGATTGGCTCTTCTCTTGTTTTTCTGCCACTTCTTTGTTTTTTGTAAGATCTGATTGGCTTTCCTCTTGTTCTATCACTTGTTTCCTAAGTGGAATAACTTTGCTAATGGTTTGCAGCCAGTCATTACATTGTACAAACTGCAATAATATTTCAAAAACTGAAATGGAAAATATAAATATACTTATTAAAATCAATTATTAACAATAAACATTCATCAACATCATTAACAAAGATATTTGGCGGGCTGCACACATAGGGTTTTTAATTCATTTTCGTTGGGCCGCAAAAAAAATCACTGTTGGGTTGCATGCGGCCCGCAGGCCGCACTTCGCCCACTTGTGCTTTAAGATCTACTGTATGTGGCATAACACATCATGCTGCTGTCTGTACCCAAATTATTCCCCAATAACACAACCTCTATTGGGGTGGGGATGTAGCTTGGCGATTAAGTTTCTCAAATTCTAATCCCAGGATTCTTGGTTCAAATCCTGTAAAGTACCAAAATCTCATGATTACTAAAAAAGAACACCAATGCCTAAGCTTCTTAATAAGACTTAGTGTGAAGAGCATCTATTCTTTCCTATTATTGGCCAGTATACTTGCTGTAAAATAGGGGTAAAATGGCCAACTCATGTAAACGTACCATGATTCACTGCTAGAACTTTCCTTGACTTCATTTGGATATTATCTCCAATGGGCAACTGAGCATGCTCCCAGCCTCTATCAAGTGCATACTGGAAACACACACCCTGGGGAAAAAAGATATCCTGTTACATAAACATTTCATGCTTATGACCCTGAAGACAGTGAAATTGAGAAACAACATCATTAATATTGCCATCTTCAAAATATGTAATCTGACAAACAACCATCAATCAAGTGTGCAATTAAATATGGATCAACAAGAGACATTTATTGTATAAATATTTAAAAAAATATGTTTTTAAATCAGTATATCACTGTGAAACCAATTTAAGATATACACTCTATGACCTTATAAACCTAAAAAATAATCAATTTCAATATTTAATAGCTCATATAAAGGGATGAAATAAGATATCAACTCCTAAATTAATTGTTTTTTAGCCCAATTCACTGGTAATCGTCTGTCTTGTTGGGCTATAAAAATAAAACTAAAAATCTTCTTTTGCCCATCCACTCTCATTAAATACAAACTGCATAGGCTTTATCAGTTATTATTATTATTATTATTATTATTATTATTATTATTATTAGTATTATTATTATTATTATTTGTTTGGTTTGAAATATTTTTCATTTGTTGAAGTTGTTATAGTCTAAGTCTTAAATGATGCTGTGGGAATGAAGTTGTTCAGTCTGCTATCACAGGAACTGAACCCAAAATTCTGGGGTTGAAAGCAAGGTTCTTTACCATCAAGTTATTCAGAACCACTCCAAAGAGTATAATTAACTAAAAGTAACTTTGGTATGTAGATAACTGGTTATGGGGACATATGTTTTTCTCAAATATTTATCATCATGTAACACCCACTAGTCCACTCCACAGCATATCATTAATGTATCAAATATTTCCTCTGTAACTTGTATGTATTACCTTGTGGTGATTGTGATCCACTAGGCCACCGATGATGTACACCTTCTGTGGGTCAAGATTCTGCAGGACGTTTGGTGATTCTGCTGCCAGGAACACAAGCTTATCTTTTCCAAATTTAGACTCTGGATCCAGACCCTCAAAGTTAACCTAGCAATAAACAAATATCGACTGTTACTTTATCCTCCTCACATAAAAACAAGCAACGCAAAAACTCTTTATAAAAATTGCTTTCAGTTGTACTGCATATAACCACTGCAGGCATTGTGCATTTCACCATTTTTCGCTGGGAAATTTTTAGACAATTCCAAGGCTTGTGAATAAGAAAGCTCTTACTAGTCAGTTTTAAAAATATGTAACAGCAGACAACATTCTGTGTATAAACATCTTCTAAGAACTGTGAGGTATATTGAGATACTTACATCCCATTGTTTGTACCCCTGAATGCTACTATCAAATACTTCTTTGGTTTTGTCCTTGAAACTGCACACATAATATTGCAATGGTTTTTCAACTCGTCTATTTTCTGCATAACATCGCTGAAGCTGTTTCACAAGCTTTTTTACATCCTACACAAAATTTAGATTTATGGAAAAAAAAGAGTGTTTTTTTAAAATTTAAAAGTTTTTATCTTTGACAAGGAAAATCCTAATTTAATCGCTACAAATTTGTTTCATATGACCACACAGGGCCATATGGTCATATGAAACAAATTTGTAGCGATTAAAGATATGAAGTAACCAAGTTCATCTGCTATTGTTTTATTTCTATTAAGCTCTATCTGAGATATCGAGCACTCTACGTCATAGAACTACAAACTATCACATAATTTAAACATAATGCAATATAAAAATAATATAACCTTAACTCAAACTTTACATTAACCTCACCTTTACCAAACTTAAACATAACTCCAATGTAACCCATTATTTTTAATTTAATGTTTACCTAAATACACCCTAACCATTACCTAATTAATAATTTATTCCCATCCATTCAACTACCAAATGCCGAAACCTAGGAGGCAAGCCTGTATACAGATTCCAGTAACTAACTTAAAAATTTTGCAACTTAATTATACATAGCGGACATATACGGATACAAAACTTGTCCTTAACAGGGAACAATGAAATTTCCCTGGTCCTTAACCCACCTAACTCTCAACATGAGGGCTATTCAAGGAGCCATGCCATCAGACTCCAATTCAAACCCGACACTGTCTGGGTTTGAAAAAGGGTCTTCAGCTCAAAAAGCACGAATACCCCTAAGCCAACCACTCACCTCATAATACTGTCCAGAGCCACATTCATAACGTAACGATAATTGAACATTACCTAAAACACAACCATAATCAAGAATAGCCTTGCACTAACACTAGAGCAAATTTTTAAAAATACATTCTCCAAGGCTTGTTATAAATAACTCTGATTATTACCCAAGATAAATAGATATTGCAGTCCTATATACTGTATACTCGTTAAGCCTTTTGTACACTTGTTAAGCCTTTTGTTTATGTTGAATCTAGTTTAGTATTTGTAGTATACTTTTTAACTTAAGCACTTTTTTTTAGCTTTGTTTTTTATTTACTGCTTAAATCTTTCTTTGTTTAAGATTGACTATACCACTAATTGTGTGTTGCCACTGTTACAAAATGAAATGTCGAATAAATTATTATTATTATTACTAAAAGTGGATATTATTCAAAACATAATTGGCTCTCGTGTTCTGAGTAATTGGCTTTCGTTTTCCAAAAGAGTTATTATAAAAAAATTCTATTATTTTTCAAATACATTCATAAAATGGCTTCTTTGTATTGCACAAATCCAGGGAGGTAGACAAGATAATTAATAGAAATTTGTGAAACAAGTCAACCCACATAAAAAAAATAGAAATCTTATTCTACGAGTTATTGTGTGCTAGGAAAAGGATATAATCTGCATGCTCCATTCAGAACCGTGACTTTTCTGAAGAATTTAAAAACTGAACTTTATCAAATCTGCCATGGGAGGTTCAATTTCCATTAACCTACAAGTGTCCATTACAAAAATTCTAGATTTTTTTAGTTACCAAAAAAAAAAAAAAAAAACTAATTTGTTGAAATGCATTACTGTACTTACAAAAATATTCATTAGTTGATCAAAACTACAATCAATGACGACCTTAACATCACTTGCCTCTGGGTCATCCATCTTGCGTATCTTATTTACCGGTGGGCCAAAGCCTTCGGTTGCGCATTCTGCAGACATCTGCTTCCGTTTCTGCTTTCGTTTTTCCCTTTCCACCTTCCTGAAAATGTTCATATAAATAAATCATTTTCATTTATATTATACTGATTGAAGGCTGTACATGATACCATCATCATTACCAACAGCAACAGGACTGGAAAATTTGAACTACCACATGACCAAAAATTGCATCATCATTTGCATCCTTATCTACATAATAATACTATTAAAGGCTTTTATAGCACACATCTCCACCCGGGTTGGGGGGGGGGGGACGATCAAGAGACAATGAAATACATTCAACATTTTACTTTTCAATCTAATTTTGTTTGGAAAGTAGTAGTTGAACAAAAAGACATATAAATCACTCAGCATGACTGAAAAAAACCTGAGTGATTTGTGGTCTGGAATACCTTCTCTCTGATCGTCTGACCAGCCATTTTTCATGCCGCTTCTGTTTTTTCAGTTGATTTTTGGACAGCGGTTTATCAAATGTGTCAGATGAATTTTGTTGTTTTGCAATATCATCATCATCTGGGATTGTGAGACGTGCTTCATCAGCCGATGTTACTGATTGGTCAGTTGACAGACTGTTGTCTTTTGAATCATCTTCTGGAGGTTCCATATTGGTTGCCTCCATCATTGATGATATTTAAAATCCTGTAGAAATAAAACAAAGACTAATTATAGTATGCTTTGTAATAAAAACGTACTGTAGCTTCTGCAACATTACAACTATCTTTATGTACTGTGAATTTTAAAAGAATTATTAATATTGATTCTCATAATAATTTCAATAACAATAAATAAAATGTGAAATAATAAAAAGATAAATGAAAAAAAAAATCATCTGCTTAAACTAGAATAAAACTGACCATGGATATGGGTTATTTTAATTTTTTCTTGAATGATTTAAGAATTTTTCTCCAGTTTGATTTGGCTTATAAATATCGAATCAAATCTACCATGTCTGGACAAGCACATTAACTTTACTTTCTACAGAGCTGTAAAGTTTGTCTTCAATTGTAAAATGGTGATTTGTTTAAATCTTTGTTAACGGAGAAAATACTGCGCCATATATTAACACAACAAGACCTGCAGCTTACCTCCCACATAAACTACAATTGACATTTGAAAACAAATGAATGTAAACATGTCAAGACAGCAGAACGCTAATCCAATCTAGCAAAAGCTTTATGAAAAACTACTAGATAGAAATATAGGTATTAAGAACTGTCATGAACAACTTTAAAGGATAAAACATAGCCTGCCATGCTTGGAACTTGATACCATTGGAATAAAAATATAAGCATCTGTGGATTAATTCACTTTGAACTGGTCTACATATTACCAGTTGACATTGACAAAGATACTGAAGATACAGTAGAATTGTCTTTAACTTGAAATTATTTTCAATGTTTATAATTTTGTTAATGTTAATCAATGCATTTTAAGTATATTTCGTTCAAAAAGTTATTTGACTCAAAAAATAATTACCAATTTGTCGTGATGATGTGATTTATAATTTCTATTAATATTTTGATTTAATTTGTTGAAGGTTTCAAATTATGAATATTTTTGTTGTACAATATCTGCAATCAGCATTCACACACATTTAGAAACAATAATCTGCTAGTAAATATTGAGTATTATTTTAACAAGTATAATTTAATTTAAAATTTAAAATCTTCATACAATTTAATCAAATAATTAATTCCAGAGACTCCAAGTTAAGACAAATTTGCAGATATTAGGATGAAGCTGTAGCATTATCATCTTGCACTGGCAAACGATTACATCTCAATAGACAATTTTATCAGATTTATTTTGAAACAGCACCGCCAATGTCTCACAACTCACTGGAGGACTTCCAGCGGCCTAGCCTAAGCAGCTAGCTAGTTAATACAAATAGAGCACCGCATAGCACAGCTAGACCTTACCTATATACGCAGGACAACATATACAATCTTGCTAATTACTGTAATTACTATATATGTAAGCATTGAAATAGCTTTTCAGGACTTAGACTTGTTTCTAATATAAACATTTCATGTTTTTTTTTCCGTTTTAAAATATTTGTGCTCGTTAGTAATTTAGATTATTATCGTTGATTTAATCCATGATGGTAACTACGTAGAGCAAAATGCTAGGCCTCTAAAAGTCCCTCTGTGGTAGTTGCCAGGTTATCAAAAACTTCCATTTCAAATTTTTCGGGAAAATGGTCTATAGCCAAAGAGATGAAGGACTCAATTATTAGGAACCCCTCAGTGAATCAGAAGGCCTTCATAAATGCTCATTATGGTTGCAGTGAACAGAATGAAGTGCAGCATTACAACATGATGCTAATTATAATCATGTTTTTGACTTAGAAAATGCCTTTGGGTCTACAACACCTTATCATATTAAATTCACCAAAGGCAGAATACTGACCTTGAATATATTATGAATCTCTACTAATACAGCTCATTAGGCATCTTGAAATTATACTTACTCCATTAGGTGTCCTCACTTTTTGCCGTCCCTTGAGAATGTAATGTAATACTGTATAGTTGGATTTATATACCGGTAGTGCTTTATACCAAACCGGTCTCAAAGCGCTTGAGGTGTGGACTAGCTCTAACAGTAACTTGCTTCTCCCTCTATGGGTTACTTCGTGTCTGAGCTACCCGGTAACGTAGTACCAGCTACTCTTGTCTGTCTACAACAGGGGCTGTATGAACCAGTACACCGGAATAACCCCTACTCGTCTCTAAAGGTGTACTGGGTTCTTTAAAGTGCACATGAGCCAAATTGTGGACAATGGGCCTACGGTTTATAGTCCTCATCCGAGAAGACTTGTCCACCGCCAGAACCATTTGAACCAGTGCTGATATTATGGTTATACATTGTGGTACCTCTGCCTTAACCGCTCATCCAACCAACTTGCCGAATAGTAGAATGTAAGCTTCCTTATTCCTTTTAAAAAATAAGCAGAACTTATCCTGATACCATTAGGATGTGCACTGAGTTTAAGTATAAATAGTATGAATGTCACTATTGACATATTGTCCAATTGACAAGGCCATTTTTGTATAATTTGAAACCTTCAACAAATTAATAGAAATTATAAATCACATCATCACGACAAATTGGTGTAGAAGCGGTTGGCGCATCGGTTGTGGCTTGGACTCCCAACCTCGAGGTCGGGGGTTCGAAACTCTCGCTGTGCAAATCGCTTGTGTCCTTGGGCAAGGCACTTTATCTATGGTTGCCTCTCTTCACCAAGGAGTACAAGTGGGTACCTGGTAGGTTCCAACACAACTGCGCTGATTACTAGCCGCAATATTATGGAATAATAATATAATTTAATTTAATAATTTAATTTGGTGTTCAATGTGTTCCATATGTGTTTGATCCAATGACCGGGGTAGTAATGTGAAGCGCTTAGAGGCTTTGTTAAGGCATTAAGCGCTATATAACGACGACATATTATTTTATTCAATGTTTCACTAATATTTAGGCATCATCAGAAATACGTTTTATGGCAGTGATAGTTTGACCTCTTTGTTGGTTTGATCGCTTGTCCGCAGGAAATTCGGGGGAAAAAAAATTAAACCAATAGGATGACATGCTTGAAGATCATACCATACTTTTTTCATACTTTCGTGGTGTGTTGCTTACGAATTTCTCTCGCAAGAAGTAAGGTCAGCTTCAACTTCTGTTGGTGACCGTCATTTAACTTCCGCCCACTTGCTAATACTCACATTACCGTGTTTTTATTAGTTGTACCTTTCACTAGAAATGCGTTCAGGAGGAATTTAACCGTTTATAAAAAACATGTGTTTTTGGCGTTATTCAGCAGAAACACGCGCTAAGATAAAATAATTAATTATTTTCTGTATTGGCTTATTTGGTTTCATGACACTGATCTTTTATACACATGCACCTGACTGTAATTCCCAAATGGGTATAACTGCTAAGGAGGCCTTCTGAGAGTATTCGGAGCAAGTGTGGGCTGATGCCCCGGTGGGGCGTCCCCCATGGCTTTGTTCGTTTTTGAGGTATCATCCACGCATTAAAAACTTTACAGTATGACACATGCACTCAACTTTGTACCTTGGCTGGATAAAAAATACTGCCAAACAACCAAATTTCATTCCCGATTTGATGGAACCTAAGTAAGTTAGCATACTAGTACCAAAGAACTTAAATAGCAGAAGAATGAGCTGTTCCACATTTTTGCATTAAAAACGATGGAACATCCGCCCTCATGCGGTTGCAGCAAAATTTGAACATTTTACTAAGTGGAGAAACTACAGGAAACAAACGAACCAGAGCGGCGCCTTTATTATTACTATATAGCGCCGCCGCACGGATGCAGTAAAATTTTTCTCTGTGTACCCAGAATGCATTTCGACCGGATGTTCCACTCTCTTGGGAAGCTGCTCTATCTTCTGCTATTTATTATTTTTGCTAGTACTAGGCCCCTATATATCCCTTTATTTTAGCCAAATACACCCTAATTTTAGGTGTCCGAGCCTATTCTAGTTAAGCCACTACCGTACCGTAATAAGTACGTAGTTTCCCTACTCTAGCCAATCTATTCTAGGAGTCTAGGCCCAGGCTAGGGAGCAGTAACTAGTAGTACTTGACTAATCAACTCAAGCTAGGCCTAGGCTTATGAAAGTCTACGGCGCCTACCCGGCCAAGAAGTACTTCGTCTCGAACGAAGTAGTATAGCCTAGGGCCTAGTAAGTAGTAGCCCTACCTAAAATATTCATCAGAGCCTTTTCGTTTGTATCATGCTGTACTTACACTTTACTGCATATTTTGAAAGACGAGCTGTGAGAATACTTCAGGTTTTTAGTGAGTTTATTTTCAGATTTTGTGTGCCGTAGCTGTGCTGTGGAATTCATACGGACCAAAAACACATGCATAATTAACCTTCAATTCCAGACGTTAAGTCAGTCATTGTAACACCACCAAGCGTTTGGCCTGTACGACTAATTGACGTGACAGCGAAATTTGATTGATTTGATTGTCAGCATTTTGAGTCAAGAAATTAAAACAAAATAAGAAATGTCGATACCACAACAACATTTTCACTTTTTTCCTCTCATGATCCCACAACGGAAAACACCCTCGTCAGAGTGGTAAGTAGTATAAAATTAACAGTAAATGTCATTGAATCATGAAATGATTCCAGGCCCAGGAATGTCAATCGGAAATGTTGGTACCGGTGAATGTGATTGACATTTGATTGATGGGCAGGCTGGAATAAACAAAAGTAAGGTAAGAGAGGCCAAGTTGATATGATAGTGATAGTACATGAGCTGTATCATAATTTTTACCGGTATGTACAAGGATGCCTAGGCTAAAAGGGCCCTTGTTGGATATGGGATCCCCAGGCTGGGTGAGGTTGAGGGAATCCCATAGAAATGCGTTCCCTCTTTAAAAAAACGCGTCCTTCGGTTGACTCCCCTCCAGTCTCCCCCTCCAGTAGTCTGCCTCCATTCGCCCCCCCCCCTCCATTCCCGTCCCCACTTAGTCGTCCCGGAGCAGATTGTTTTGTTAAATTATTTCGACAATACAGTTAATTGGCACTCATGATTTCTGTTTTTACTGCATTACATTCTGCTTTTAGTTTTTGCCTGAACTATCAGATTTGGCGTGCGCTTTTAACTGCAAGGAAAAGCTATCAATCGCCCCTCACTTAATCATCAAGCCCATGCACTTCACCGTTGCTCCCCCATCATCCCCCATTTCAAGACTCTAGATATACCATTGAAGCTTAGACCAGCACTGCAGGGTCTTATGAGTGGGAGCAGGGTCTGGCAGTGGGGATGGGGAGGGGTGGCTACCCCAGAAAAAGCTGTCCACTATAATGCCCCTGAACAAAGAAGTGTCTCCCTCAAAATGGGTTGACTGTAGTGTTAAATAGGGCCTTATATATTTTTCCTTGATTTGTGGCCAAAAAAGTGTCCCCTTAGTGGTGTTCCAGGAAGGGGTAACCCAAAGGAGGGGTTATAATTTTTTTTTAGACTTTTATGTAAAATATTTTCTATTTATTCACTCACTCTATTATTTTGTAAGTCATTTTGATAATTTTATTGTACTAAATGATTTTATTACTTTTTTTCCCAGTCTCAAATATCAACTTCAGCCCAATAGCTAATACATGAATGCAGTAGGTTTGACTCTGAGGTCACTGCAGCTATTTCTGAAATAAGTTTAATCAAAAGAACACCTGGTTGACAGGCGGTGAGGATCGAATTACCCTGGCTAGCTAGGATGATATTTCAAAGGATGAGGAGGAGGCAGAGGCAACGGCAACACTTCTACCAGGAACAGGGTAAGATTACGATTTACCTGTACCATCACAGATGGATATTATCAGTTGCAGTGATTCTGCTTGTGAAAGGTGGTAAGTGCTTGGAGTGTCCCCTGTGCTACAGTATTCAAACATTCAAATGCTCAAAAGATGCACATTTTTTAGTATTTTATAAGATAGTAATTAAAAAGTTATATGCCATTTCTATAAAGCAGAAGAGGATCCAGACACCCAAAAATAACCTCTGAGGCATTTTGGGAGATCAATAATTTCTTTTTCTTTCTTTTTCTCTTTCATTCTTTTTCTTTTTTTTTTTTAATTACTTTCCAAAAAGGGAACAGCTCACCCCACCCCCCACCCCCTACAAACCTTCCCCTATGAAAACTTTACAACAAGGCACAACATAACATAAAATAAACATAAAACTCAGGCAAGGCAAGTACAATGCAGGAACAAAATGTAAAATAAAAAAGAATCAATTAATTACATATTAAAATCAAATGAAATAAATGAGTTTTGAGAGTCTTTTTGAAAACGGATCAAACTGTAATTGCGAATTTAAATTGGCAAGCATTCCAGAGCCTGAAGATCTACTGTAAATATAAGCATTGCCATTGTATGAAGAGACAGTCATGATTAGTTAAAATATATTTTTAGATCTAATCTTATTATAACAATAATAATATTATTATTACCTTAGATTCCATTCGAGTAAACATGTCCATTCGTGATTTCAACTCTTCACCTTAATGTTCTTTGCTGCATGACCGCACATATTAAATTTGTTTGATTCTACATATTTGTACATTTGTTGATGAAATTTATTTTCCTGAGTTGTTTATAATTATAATACAGAATTATAGAATCACAAAATTTACAAATATAAATCTTTAAACTTTCAATTGTGATACAATTATATTTAAAGCTAGATAAAATACCAGAATTTTTTAGAAACAAAGAGTTGTTTACCATGCACCTATCAGGAAAATTTCTGGTTAAAATGTAATTATTACAATAATTGCAGCAAAGTTCAAGAAAATTTCACAATTCAAGACATCTTTTACAGTATCTGGTTTTTTGGGTGTTTTTAGCATTTGTGTAAGTGTGCAAGTGTAAATAATTACCATATTTTGTACTTAAATATAAATATATGTATTTGATTATAAATATATAATTACTATTTGAAATTTTGTTTACTGTTTTTTTTTTACTTTGTAATATTTTTTTATTGTCTTTGAACACACTGTCAATCGATGAGTGCCACTGTAACGAAAGTGTACGTTCAAATAAATAAATTTTAAAAATTGTTAAAAAAATAACCTTTGAATCAGTCACTAAAATAAAATTATAAAGTGCCTCACCAAAAGGGGAAATAAAGCTTTCCGACAAGGGGATGGGAACCATTTAGGTCTGGAGCAGTGCCCTGGTGGGAGCCCACAGGGTTGTAGCTGTAGAAACCTAAGGGTGGTAGTAGAAATTTTAAGGGTGGGTGGCTGATAACATTGGTAAACTCTAAATAATAAAAGTGGATTTTAATTTTTAAGGATGGAAAATTGGGTGAATATGGGTGGGTGGAGGGCCATGAGTTTAGCTTTAGATTGGGTGGAAAACTTCAAGGCTTTGTTGCCCTGCACTCCTCTGCCCACCATAACTACATCCCTGGGCCCATAAGAAATTACTGGCCAATTTTTAAGCAATTTTTGTGAGATGTATGTATTTTGCCCCAAAAATGTTTAGTCTGAGTCATGGCCAAAGGAGGGGCTTGAGACTAACAAATGGGGTGAAGGGGGTGGGGGGCTTAAGTCAACTATTTTCCCTCCTACTGGCACTATAGACCTTTCCGCTAACCCCCGCCCCTTGGATATTGTTGCTAAGGTCCCACAAGTCAGCAGTGTTAAAACATACGCGAACACGTGCGTTTGTGGCACAGCACGTAGGTTTGTGAGACGCGCGCTTATTCCTAGCGCTGTTTTGATTAGTCAGTTGTTAAGTTTGATTGACACTCCGGAAAGGTCTATTATTAGTTCACTGACCGTGCACTGAGAGCTCAGTATACAGTATCCATAAAATTAATATATTTGATATATTTGCTCTTTATATTGATTTTTTATCATCACTTTAAATATTGTGAAGATAACTTATTACTGGCATTTATATTCATGTACAGTACATTATAGTTAATTAATGCCACAGATAAGAACACTTGAATATTGAATTAATAAATAAGGTACGGTCAATGACCACATTTTCTGTTGTCATGTCATTATTCATGAGTTCTTAAAGTAAAATCAGCATTAAATTTAATCATAGCCTGCAGTTCAGTTTTAATTAGGGAGTTATCAATCGAGTAAATAATGCTCTTTGGATGAAAGTGAAAACGACCTTTTTGGTATGTTTTTGGAGGCTCTGTAAAATCAGCATTAATGTATGGGTAAGTAAATTTGGTGATTTTATAATGGTTTTAACTGTGTCAGATTGTTTCAGGAGGGGGTAGGATTTGGAGGGATCTACCAAAAGGTGGTGGCCCTGGATTCTGTCCCCAGTAGCAGGTCCAGGATTTGAAAATAGAGGCCAGGATAGGGAGGGGCTTTCACAGATGGAGAGTCCATACCACCTACAGTAAGCCCGACCTTAGTTGGGGAGGAGGTGTGACAATTTATGATTACGGCACCTCTCCTAGATGGCCAGAAATACTCAGACCTTAATTTTATTAGGATTTTTCATTTTTTCTCCATTTTTTTTTTTACAATTAATATTGTAAATATATTTTTTAATTAAGATTAAAAAATTTAGGGGGCCCAGCTAATTGTTGAAGAAGTTTGTTGTGTGTTGCTATCGTATTCAAACAAACACAATTAAATGACACAATAAACAATATTCCAGCTCTACATAGCCATTCGTTGTTTATTCATCCACCAGTCCTGATTTAACAACATGTCCGAACAACACACAAGATATGCTAGTCTTGTAGTCCAGACACTACAGTAATAACAATGGTTAACTCTAAATAGGCCTCTAATAAGAGTGGATTTTAAGGATGGAAAAGTGGGTTAATAAGGGTAGGTGGAGGACCATGAAATTAGCTTTAGACTGGGTGGAAAACTTCAAGGCTGGGTGGCCCCGCCCATCGTAACTACACCCCTGCTTCATAAGAATTTTCTCAGCTGCTATTAGTTTCACTTTAGACAATCAAATCCATCAAACATGTTTGCCATAGAGTATATTTGTATCATGAAGGACAATAAGTGTGGAGTGCTGTGATAGGTCACATTCTAAACACCTAGTTGACTTTATTTGAATAGGACCAGTATCTATTGAAGTGTAACAAGCAACAGAATACTGGTACCTATTATTAAAAGCATATGAGCTTATTTGAGTACAGTACTGCATTAGTATAGCAGCATCAAAGGTAAGAACATAATTTTCTCTTTGAATGAATTTTTCATCATAAGTTTATTATTAATTTACTTACTGACATCTTTAGAGCAACTGCTTTTCCCAGAGGCCCTCAATACAATTACAAATACAGTAAGCTATTTTGAATACATACAATCAAGTTTTCCAATTACACATTTTTTTTATAAAAACCAGTAAAATTGTTGTTTTTATGAATGTTCCTACTTTTTGGCCAGTTTCAAGCTCAAAATGTTCTTATTTTACACACTTTTCAAAGATAAAAAATTAATACGTAGGCCTACAGCGGTATATACAGGACTGTAAGTATTACTACACAAGCCTTCATTAATTGTCTTTATACTACGATTTTTGTCATTTGATGTATTTTATTGGATGGCTTGCTGGGCCCCGGAGGATAACAATCCTTTTTGCACTGATCATGTCATGCAGGGTAAAGAATGAGAAATTAAAAATTGAATCTACTGAACATAAGGTACAGAGAAGACCAAACAGAATTTTACATACAAGGGTCTTTCTTTCTGTTGATTGTTGGTTTTTTCCTAAAAAATTATAGGTTTTTATTTTAAAAAACCCTATAATTTAAATTTTCATCCAGGTTCAATTTGTTCTTATTTTTCAGCCTTAATGTTCTTATAAACTGTGTTAATAAAAAAATTGTGTGTACCACAAAGTCTAATATAATTTTTGAAGGTTTCAGCGCACTGCCTGTTTAAAAGAAGAGTTTATTTTAGAGTGTCACTGTAAATTATAAATAATTTATTAGTTGTTAAAATTGTACATAGGCAATTGATGTGTTGCAACATTAGTACAGTAATAATAATTCCTTGAGAAGTTATATTCTCAGTGATGATGATACAAATGATCAAGGCACCTTGTAGGTTTAATACATATTCCTACTCAGGCTCCAGCATTTATTTGAGAGTGGCACTTGTTGAGAGGCACTTGTTAAATAGTTAATAGTAGAATATTAGAAACCTGATGTGGCATTTCAGAGTATTTGTGTGTTAGTGCAATATGAATTGTTATTATTATTATTATTGCTGCAGGCAGATATTGTTCTTCAATGTCAAATATTTGAACACCACTTTAGGTTCTTTCTCCATTGGTAGAGTAAAGATGATTATCTCTCAGCTTTTGTGCACATACTTGCCATCCATGAATGGATGTACTGTGAGATATCTGTGTTGTACTGTTTTGCTTGTTTAATGGATACCGTATCAATAAGAGTAATCACACACCAAGACCAAAGAATTCAACAATTTACAATAGTGGCCTTATTCCTTTAATCAAAATTACATTTACTGTGATTTTGTTTATTCCATAATTTAATTTAGTGATATGGTAGAATACCAGCCTGTTATTGGGGATGATTCGCTCATTTAAAGGGATCTAACAATTTATCAACCTCGAATAAAAAACTGATTAAAACAAATTGATTTGTGATTGTGTGATAGTTTTTTTAGCTCCGATAATTATTATTATTATTATTATTATTATTATGATTATTATTATTATTATTATTATTATGTACTGCCTCTATTATACTGCCCTTATGAGAGCTTTTGAGATTACAAGAACTTGTTTTTTTGATATGTGAAATTTCT